TAGTTTATTTTTTGATTAACTAAGATTAGTCATTAACTTCACTTATCCCTGGATTCTTCTCTTATAATATTTTGTGAATATTTTATTCAATATCTATTTTTTCAGTGAACATGAACGACCCTGTTGTATAACTTATGTAGTGGCTTGGCTTCGACAACTCAGTTCAATAATATTGGAAGAAAATAAAGATTTCCTTCCCTTGTTTCCAATTTTTTGTCCCAATAACGAAATAAATTAATTTTTGTTATGTAGATTTTAAATTACCTATACTGTTTTCGTTTTTTATTTTAAATAAATTATTTTTATAAATTATTTTAAAATTTACTATTAGGAAGGTTTGTGTCCAACCCGCAGACAATGTTAAAAGTTACTCCCGAATGCGGGATCCCGCAAATACGATTTTGCCGGTCACTAGTCCAGAACAGAGCTGTAGGAAATGGTCCTATAATTTCGGGACTCCTAATTAATTAATACAACGTTTAATAATTTATTTATTTCGCAATGAAAACTACAATTAATTTAACAAGGGAAAAAGCATAATATTTTTATAATAAAAGGGACAGATTGTGATCCAAAGAGAGCTTAATGACCGCTGAGATAGATAAACGGGGGAAAAGCCAGCTATTTTTATAGCGGTTGATTTACAGGAAAGTATTTTGTAATAAGTTTGTGTGAGAAAGTGAATAAAGAATTTCAGTGATTAACAGATTTCGTAATTTCATAAGTTTAATTAAATGAGTAATTCGCAGGATGCGACACTCCCGCGGCAAACATTGAGTGAATGGGTTGGATATTGAATAATGGGAGATAACAAAATATTGGCTGGATGTTGAATAAACGGAGAAGATTAGGAATGGGCCAATTTGGGTTTACATTGTTATAAGTAGTTATAATGCTTGGCAAAATAGGGGGGACCGTAAATTTAATTGAGTTTAATCGTGGAATGTGTGAAATATTTCTTTTCTTAAATTTCTTATTCTTCTGTAATTTTGACAATTGATTTTTTGTTATGGAGGAGGCTGGAAGGCGTTCAACACAGCCAGAAGGGAGAACTCGAACACGACTGATTGGGAATTTGATTGGAGAGCTGGGGGGAGGCGGTGGAGGATCCAAAATCATTTTCAGTTTCGAAGGAGCATGCGGTTGTGGCTTTGTAGTCGGAATATTTTGTGTTTGATGTTTGTCAGTAGCAACAGGCGGGGAAGTGGGTAGATCATGAGAGTCCAATTCTGTTGTGGGGGAAGTCGGACGTGGAGATTTGTCTGATGGAACATCACCTGGGGGGCCTGAAGATTTAATTAGTCCTTTTCTTCTAGGCACATTATCTGTGGGAACTGAAATTTTTATTTCTAACTTATTATTTTCAATGGTCTTCAGTGGACCGTGTTTTTGATTAATTATATTTGGAGGAATGGGACTCATGGGATTTTTAATAGGATCGGGGCTAAGTAATTGATTTTGATTGTCGTCTATTTTTGGGCAAATTTTAATTGAGCTATAGATTAATCGTGACTCTTCGGGCATTAAGGATTTACTTTCGCCTTTTTTATTTAAGTGGCCTGATTTGGTTTCGGTTTTTGAGGAATTATTAAAGGACTTGGCGGTATAAAATTTATCCGGCAATCTTATTAACGATAAAGGGATTGGAGCTATAGGTGGGGGTGTAATTGGCATTATTTGTGAGTGATTAATTGTATGTTGCTTGGGAATTTCTTGTGGGGATATAATGGTTTCTTCATTATAATCTTCATCTATACAGGGTTCATTAATTTGTGGATTAAATAATTTCGAGCAAAGTGCTCTGGGATGTAAGTTATTACAATGGGAACAAGTAATTGGTCTTTGACAACTCCTCGAAATATGGTTGGGCTTATAACAATTAAAACATAAATTTTTCTCATATAAGCGGGATTTTCGAGAATGGATTGAATTATAGTTAGAGCAATGGTGGGATAAATGGTCGGGTTGGTTACAGAAAATACAGGGGAATCTAAACCTCCCTGTTTTATTGTTTTGTTGAGATGTATGAAATGTTAGGGAGGATTGTGGTGTGTTAGGTGGGCTAGTCTGTCTAACGGGTCGGGGTGATTTTGGAGTACAAGGGTGACTTATCTGCTCGTTTAGCTCATTCTTTTGGTCGTCTAGAGCTTTTATTCCTTCCTTTCTTTTCAGTATTTGTTTTAATGTTGTCCGTAATTGATCGGTCTGCCAGTTTGCTCCATTTTCTTCCTTAGCTTTAAATATTTCTTCAAGAATAGGAGGTGGGAGTTTCGATTCTAATTCCATTTGGATGGAAAGCGTGTTGATATCAAATTCCTGTTCAATCATTTGTAAATATAATAATTCAAATTTGTCTACGAATGATCGTAGTTCCATACAAAGATTTTCGGGACCATTATTTGAATGTACTGTAGGCAATTTTCTTATTGAATGGAGAAGGGTCCTATTTATTTCATCGGAATTTCCATAATTTTCTCTTAGAAGTCGGATTGCCTCATGATAAGAAGCATTGGTTAAAGGAAGGGATTTTATCAGTAAATATGCGGGTCCATCTAAACATTCCTTGAGATAATTAAATTTAACGGCATCGGAAAGATCTGGAATGTCGTGGACACCAACTTTAAATGAGTTCCAAAAGGAAGTAAATTCAACACATTTTCCATTAAATTTGGGGAGTGAGAGCTTCGGGAGATGAAAATGTGTATTTGTGATTTGGGAGGGGTCGGGAAGAGCTTCTGTTAATTTAGCCTTTTCGGAAAGGAGTTTACGGGAATATCTTTTTAAATCTCTGAGTTTATTAAGGAATGGGGTTTCTGTAGTAAATGCTTCGTATATTGGGGTGTCGGCTTGGCGCTCTGCGCCTGTCATACTGGTACGAATGCTCATCCATTTTTCATGGGCTGAGGTTATATCTGTAATTGTTTCAGATACATGTCCTAATTCTAATTCGAGGGATGTAATGAGGGAGCGAATGTTTGCACGGTGGAGGGAAATGCTACCTGTTTGATCGGGGAGATTAAATTCTTTTTTATTATTTAAAATTTCGGTAGCGTCCTCGGCGAGGAGCCGTAATTCATCACGGAAGGGTGCTGACATTTTTCGGGTTTTCGAACCGGCTGAGCTGTAGGAAATGGTCCTATAATTTCGGGACTCCTAATTAATTAATACAACGTTTAATAATTTATTTATTTCGCAATGAAAACTACAATTAATTTAACAAGGGAAAAAGCATAATATTTTTATAATAAAAGGGACAGATTGTGATCCAAAGAGAGCTTAATGACCGCTGAGATAGATAAACGGGGGAAAAGCCAGCTATTTTTATAGCGGTTGATTTACAGGAAAGTATTTTGTAATAAGTTTGTGTGAGAAAGTGAATAAAGAATTTCAGTGATTAACAGATTTCGTAATTTCATAAGTTTAATTAAATGAGTAATTCGCAGGATGCGACAGAGCTGCACGAAAACTTTTCGTTTCGTGTTCCCTCTTCTTTTTTAGGGGATCTTAAAGAAAATTTTCTTTTCTTCTTACCTATAGACGTTTATTTTCGTCCAAAACCGAAATTTTCGTGTAGCTCTGGTCTTCCATCAGTATCCCATCCGTTATTTTTTGTCCCACCTATATTTTTATGACAATTTTGTGGGCAATTTTGACATTGGCGTGTCAGATTTTTAAATAAAGGTTAGATGACATTTTATCCCATCCATTCTTTTCTGTCAATTTTAAAAAACGAACTCCAAAACTAAATTTATGGGGTACAGTCCGATTAGGCGCGACCGATTAAGCGCCGAAAAACCCAACCGAAAACCCGAAGAATTTCGGTTCGGTAACGGTTAACCTAAAGTTTCTGGTTCGGTTTGTCGGTTCGGTTAACCGAAGAATTTGGTGAAACCGACTACCCTAACCCGGACAAATACACACGTTATGAATCAGACATAGTTTTCGAGCAGTTTCTTTTAGCAGCAGTGAAGAAGGAGATAATGATCGATTCCGGCGCCTAATTGGCCCGCGCCTAATCGGGCGTGTCCCAAATTTCTGGTAGTCTTAAAAAAAAATTTTTTTGCCTTATAATTTTCTCATCTTTATTTTTTTCTTGTTGAGTAAATACCTTGTATATTTAATTTTTTATTGTTTTTATTGTTATTTTTACAAAGATACTTTTAAAATTATTTTTTAATTTTTTTCTGCCAGAAATCTTTTCAGGGATTTTTTAAAATCAAAAATCAATGTTAAATCCAAATTGGTTAAACGATGCAATAGCTAATACAAAACAAAGAACGTCATCTTTAGCGGTTAATGAGCCAGCTGCTTATGGTCCTTATTTACAAGAAAGGTTTTCTAATTAAAATTTTAATAGTAGCGGAGGGGTGACATTTGGTCCCATCTATTTTTCTGACAATTTTTGGGGTTAATTTTGACATTGGGTTATCAAATTTTTAAGAGGGATTACTAGAGATCGAGCTGGGCCTGAATCAAGGCCTGGGTTTTTCCTGTACCCAGAGTCAAGGCCCATGCATTTTTTGACATTCCTGGGCTTTCCCTCGGCCTAGCGTTTTCCTGGACTACTGGCCCAGGATCAATCCCAGATCAATAAATCAAACCTCAGAGTCTGGGGACATGCTCAGGCTTTTCAAATATCTCGATCGCTAGAGTTACATTTATTCCATCATTCTTGAAAATCCGTTAGGTGACATTTTATCCCACTTACATTTTTTTACATTTTCCGGGTATGAAACGACAATCGAATGTCAAATTTATTTTTTGTGCTTTAATTATATAAGCTGCGGGAATTATTTTCTTGTATTTTTTTAGTTAAGTCGCTTTTAATCGAGATTTAAAAAATTTTTGTCCGCAAAATTTTGCGGACAAATTTTTGCGGATTTTCTTTTTCACGGATTTTTTACTTAAGTCATTTTTAATCGATTTTTCAAAAAAAATTTTGTCCGCAAAATTTTGCGGACAAATTTTTGCGGATTTTCTTTTTCACGGATTTTTTACTTATGTCATTTTTAATCGATTTTTCAAAAAAAATTTTGTCCGAAAAAAATTTGTCCGCAAGTTTTTTGCGGATTTTCTTTAAATTTTTCTTTTTTTTCAGTCGTTTGGATATTCGTCGAAATTCCCACAATCCACCACCACCACAACAACTACTAGATACCAACAATTTTCCAGATTTACAGCAACAACAACAAAGGCCTTCTTCAGCTCATTCTTTCCCTTCTCTATTTCCCCAACAAGAACAAAACGATTTTCAACAACAAATGGTTTCACAAGGACAGCAGGGATCACAAATGCAGCCATTTAGCAGTCGAGTATATTTTTTTGAATATTTTTTGGGTTTTAATTTTTTGGGGTGGACGGTAAAGGAGTTCCATAAGTGGGTAACTAAAAGAAAGTCAGCAAACTTTGTCCACAAAAATTGTCCGCAAGTTTTTTGCGGACTTTTTTTGTCCTTTTTTGGGTTGAATATTTAGGCTGTTCTTTCACCAAAAAAATAAGTTATCTAAATTTTATTTGTATTTATTTCCGGGAAATTATTTTGGATTTATTTGAGGGGTCTGACTGTGAAACAGTGATCCCACTCAACCTTTGACTGTTAGTCATGATATAAGGGGTGTATTTCAAGCACTACCGGCTATGACTTCTCAACGAATTTACCATCCAGGGTTGGGTCGGGTTAACCGAAACTCGACAGGGTTTTTTGACTTGAAATCCGACTCGAAGGAAATTTTTTAGAAACCTGATCCATTCTGAAAATAAGGGGGACGGGTGTAAAAATTTTTTGGAAGGGGATGGAGGTTGACAAGGGAACATTTCGAACTGTGAGTAAAAAGTTCGAAATAAAAGTTATACCATCGTGTAGAGCATCGTCGAAAACCTTTATGGTTTCCGGCTTTTTCGGCTCCGACCCCCATTTCGAAAAGTTATAGGTCTTCAAAGTTTTCGACTTTTGGAGCGGTTGAGTCGCCCTCACAAAGAGAGAGTTTTCTTTTATTAGGAGAAAAATAAGACTCCCATCCTCCTTTTTTCCTTTCCTTTTCTTTTTCAATATTAGTTAAAGAAAGAGAAAAGGAGGAGAGAAAAAGAAAACTAAAGAGGCACCTCTGCCTTGCAGCTAATGTCAATTAAAAAGGAAAGAGGAAATGGCAGACATGCCTCTTTTCCTTTTCTTTCCTCTCCTCTTTTTCTCTTTCTTTAACCGACATGGGAAAAGAAGAAGAAAGGAAAAATGGAGAAAAGGATTTTTTCTCTTTGGTAAGACAAATAATAAGAAAAGTGAGGGCGACTCAACCGCTCCAAAAGTCGAAAACTTTGAAGACCTATAACTTTTCGAAATGGGGGTCGGAGCCGAAAAAGCCGGAAACCATAAAGGTTTTCGACGATGCTCTACACGATGGTATAACTTTTATTTCGAACTTTTTACTCACAGTTCGAAATGTTCCCTTGTGAGCTAAATTCAAAATAATTTTCTTTTTCAGAAATTATTTATTGGAGGACTAGGCCAAATAGACGACAACACTTTAAAACAATATTATTCTCAATGGGGGCAAGTTGTCGATTGTATAGTTATTCGAGATCCAACAACACGAAGTTCTAGAGGATTTGGATTTGTTACGTATACAACTGCTGAAATGGTTTTTTTTTGAAATTTTTTTATTTTTTGAGGGGTGAGATCTACCATCTTTTTAGAATTTTTTCGAGGGGACTGGGGGAGGGGATCTATAAAACCCAAGAAGCCTAGCCAGCGCATGGGGTTTATGGACTGAAGCACTCCCTCACTCCCAAATGAAGGAAAATGAAAAATTTAGGGAGGAAAGTGTTTTGAAAAGTGATTTTCTCGCCTATAAGTAAACGCCAAAACTTTGGTGGACCCCCGTAGTCCCCTCTTGAAAGTGATTCCTGGCTACAATCGTGTTAGAGACCAGACTAGGACACGGATACTGATTTTTGTTTCCGTATCCGGATATTTACGACGGATACAAACGGATATCCGCAGGCATTTTTAACATGTCTGTATCCATGTTCTAGTCTGTTAGAGACTTCAATCCCAGGGTTCTAGCCGAAAATAGATTTCCAATTTAGGGAATCGGATCGACTTGACCCCTGTTACACACCAAGATTTTTGTCTAGGGCGTATCCAAGGTGCCGATTTTACAGGAACTAGGAGGGAGGGGTGGTCAAAGTTTTGGCGTTTACATGTAGGTGAAAAAATGGACTTTTTTTTAACCTTAAATTTTTCATTTTATTTCATTTTGGGGGGGGGGGGTCTGAAAAAATTCTAAAGATCAAAAGAATTTTTTCTGTGGGGTAAGACTCTTCAAAAAAATTTTTGTAGATTGAAGAAAATGAAATGTTCTTATGCGGATTCGAACCAACGACCCTCCTAGTTTTACCTAAAAATAATTTTTTATAGGCAGATGCTTGTATAGCAGTTCTTCCCCACAGAATTAATGGAAAGAATGTAGATGCAAAAAGAGCTGTTCCAAAGTTTTTTTTTTTGAATTTTTTAAAAAGTTTTAACATTTTTTTATTAAAGAGAAAAGATGAATCCAATTGTAAAAACTGATGCGCTTCCAGAATTTTTGGTATAAATATTTTTTTGGGGGAAACTTTTGGGCTCTTGTTCAGATTACGTGTCCATTTGCATCTTTACGTTTCCAATGAAAAAGTCTTTGCGTCCAATAGTGATCGAGTTGGGTCTGGACGAAAGGCCTGGGTTTTTCCTATACCCGGAGTCCTGACCTAGTCATTTTTTGACCTTCCTGGGTTTTTCTTATGTTTGGGGTTTTCCTGGACTACAGGCCCAGGATCCGGCCCAGGTCAATAAATCAAACCCCAGGGTCTTTGTCAGGCCCTGGCCCTTCGAAAATCTCGTTCACTAGCGTTCACTCTATGGTGGTAAGTACCCGATTCTGAGTGTTAGAACCCATAGTCCGGCATCGTGTGCAGGCCCGTAGCCAGGGGGGGGTGGGGGGGGGGGGGAATTCCCCCCCCCCCCCGAAATGGGAAAATGGAAAAAATTTGGGGAAGGGCTGGGGCAAAAAAAGTGAATTTTTTTGGCCTACGGCCTCTGAAATTCAAAAAATTTTCGCCTGCGGCGCTGAAAATCAAATTTTTGGCGCCTGCGGCGCCGAAAAAGTGAATTTTTTTGGCCTACGGCCTTCTAAAATTCTCAAAATTTTCGCCTGCGGCGCTGAAATTAAAAATTTTTGGCGCCTTCGGCGCCAAAAATTTGGCGCAAAAAAATTCCCCCCCCCCCCCCCCGAAAAAAAATCCTGGCTACGGGCCTGATCGTGTGTATGTTTACCAAGGATGGGACGGGTTAAGAACAAAGCGGGTCGGGTTTTGAAAAATTTTTCGGGTCGTGCCAAAAAAAAAGTCCCTATTTCGGATAACCCGGCCATGCCTGGTTTGTACCACAACTTTGGGGAGTAGTGTTTTCTATTCCCATTGATTTTATGCAATTATAGTAGGGTAGCACCCTGAGTTTTTGTGGGCGGGAGTTTAGGGTTTCGGGGATTGCGGGGTGAGCCTTCGGGGTTCGGGTCGTGGTTTTTACCAAAAAAAAGTTGTCGCAAGATGGGGGTCTACCCTAGTCTAATTTCTAAAACCAGGTACTTATCGGCATTTTTGGACGAATAAACTTTTTATTTTTGGAGGCGCAAAGGTGCGATATGGACAAGAGCCAATTTTTCAAAGTAGGGGGTAGCACCCCGAGCTTTCGGTGGGAGGAGTGCCGGGTTTCATTTCGGGTTTTTGCCTAAAATTCGTGGTTTCGGGGACGGGGTGCTACCCTACTTCAAAGTGGAAATATTCTGAGAATTTTAAAATTTCTCAAAAAAATTTTTTTTCAAGTCCCTCGAACTAGCCCCAAATTGCCGTCTTCAACTTTCTGGATTAAATTGGGAATGGCATACACTTGATACAATGAGAGCACATTTTGAACAATTTGGACCTGTTGAACAATTAGAAATGGTTTTTTTAAAAAATTTTTGAAATTGAAAAAAAAATTTTCTTTAAAGGTAGCCTTCCCTCGTGGTTATGGTTTTCTTTCATTTGAAACCCAATCAGCAGTTGATCGTTGTTTAGCTTTTGGTTTAGAACAAATTGTTAATGGACACTCTGTGGATATTAAGGTATAAAGGGGGGGGGTTTAAGTGGAAAATTTTTTTTTTGAATTTTTTAAATAATATGAACCCTGGACTTTGTAATTTTTAGGTGTATTGTCAATTTAACTAGGAAAGGGACTCGAACCCTTGACCCAACTACTAAAAATGAGATTTTGGAGTCCTGTGGATATTAAGGTGTTTTTAAGGAGGGAAAGAGAGAGGGGGTGTTTTTTAAATGAAATTTTTTTGAATTTCTTAAATTTTTGACTTTTTTGAACATTAATTCTCTTGTAGTTATGGGCTTTTATAGAAATTACTTATGAAAAGGTTCGAATCCTTGGCCTAGTAAAAAGTCTTATCCATTTAACCACAAAACTTTCACTTGTATAGTGAGTCTACTTTTCCCTTGCAGACCATGAGGGGCGAGGGAGGTGAGGGACTAATCGAAGCCCAAACTTTTTTCGACAATAAATGCACAGCCCAATCCAAAGAAAATTATGAAAAACCAATCCGAAACCACCTCACCTGACTTTTCGTTTAGTCTTTCCCTCCATCCCTGTTGCTGACTCGCCTTTTTAAGGTCAGCCGCAAATATGTCGTTTTTAAAACCTTTTATGTTTCTGATTTTTAAAAACTTTTTTTTTTAAATTAGTTGGCAACACCTGATTCGCTCGAAACTTTAATTCAAACAACTAATCAACAACAACAAAATGCAGCTACAATGACTGGTGATAATTGTTTTGATGATGATGGTTGATTTTTATTTAGAAAAATTTTTTGGCTCTACTTTAAGGCATACGTCCCATGAGTATTTTTGCGTCCTAAAATTTATGCGCGTCCCATCATTGTATGTTAGAACGCATAGGAGCAAGGATGGGATGCCTAGGAGCATTTAGTTGACATTTAAAAATTTATTGCCAATTTTAGGTACCCCCTCCCCTTAATCTAACCTCAGCCTTTTTTCTTCCCAAATTTCTGTTTTCTTTTGAATATGCCACAGGGAAATAGAGATTCCTGATTTCCGAAATTAGGAATTCTCGACGTTTTTTGGGTCGATATTCCGGCAATCCAGGAGAATTGGGGTCCCTGCGAAAAAGGGAATTTTTCTAGGGTAAAAAAATTTGCTGATTACGAATCTGAACTCAGATTTTGAAAAAGTCGAATCCCGAACCCGAAATTCGGACATTTGATATTTTGGGGAAAATTTCGAACAGATCGCAAATTGGTCAAATAATATCTCATTCGAAAGATCTCGACGAGCTGAGTCGAATGACATCAAAATCACCGTGATTGATCAAGATAGAACGAAGTTATGACACAAAAAACAGGTTTACGTTGTTTGTTTTTTGTGGTATAACTTCGTCTGATCTCGTTCAATCACGGTGATTTTGGTGTCATTCGACTCAGCTCGTCGAGCTCTTTCGAATAAGCTATTATTTGCATATTTGAATTTTTCACCCCAAAATCCCCTCTATGGTTTCTCGATATTCGAGGGGTTCGGGATTCGACTTTTTCAAAATCTGAGTTCAGATTCGTAATCAGCATATTCTTTTACCCTAGAAAAATCCCTTTTCTTATTTTTAAACTCTTTTGCACTCTTAATCCCAACCGTTTCTACCTTATATACAGTACTATAAAAGCTTGTACTTATTTTTTAATTTTACCTCAGTTCTTTTTAATTATCACCTTTTACAACAAAAAATGTTGAAGAAGGAAATTACACTCCAAGCTGTTGGTAATGATGGAGTTGTTCAGAGATGGGTTCGGCGCTCTTATGTTCGACATCTTCCATTGCGACGCAAATTTTTTGAGCAAGATCCGGATGAAGGGACAAGCGATGATCAGCAAGTTGTGAAAATGTTAAATCCGCTAAATACTAAAATTGAAGAATTGGGTTACCACATTTTGGTTAGTTTTTGGTGGTTTTGTTAAAAAAATTTTTTTTTTGCAAATTTTAGGCTCGAGTTTTTCAAAGTCTCTCCATTCTTGATCGGCTTCGAATGGAACATGTTTCTCGTCTTTTTCGCAACACAGCTAAAATGGGTTGGATTGGACAGCGCAAAATTGTTATAGTTCCAGAGGAGGCGACGATAGAAGGAAACAAGACCTATTTGAGTGTATGTAAACGCTTTTTTTTTGAAAAAACAAGCTCTGATAATAGGTATTTTTATTTTCAGGCTCGCGCTTACTTCCGTCTCTTAATGAAGCGTTGTTGTCGTTACACTTTTGAACTTGTAATTTATCAATTACCAACAAAGGATCGCTTATTCAAATTACTTCAACTTTCTTATCTTGTTCAACATCTTTGTTTGGATTATTTGTCTCCCCTCAGTGGCAATGAATTTTTGGAAATTTCTGAACGTTTGCCTGAATTGAAGTCTTTGGTTATTAAAAACTGCCGATTGGTGGGCATTTTTGAATTTACTCTTCAATTCTATTAAGTTTATCGGTTTGAATCGAAGATTTTTCGGGTCCACTTAACCCTTCCCCCAAACTTAAAAAAATGAATTTTCTTTATTTTAAGCATTATAAATTCGCTCCTAATTTTCAAAGAATGCTTGATGGTCTTCAACATCTTCAAGTACTTTCTGTCGTCAACTGCAAGGGTTTCGGTACGTTAATTATTTTAAATTGTTTCATTGAAATATATTCTTTTTAAGATAAATTAGAAATTGAGAGACTTCCTTCAACTCTTCAAATTCTTCAATTAAATTATCTTGAGGGAAGTTTGGATAGGCAATTGAGGTTATTTGAATGGTTTAAAGTATTTTCTAAATGTTTTTTTTCTTCAGAATTATTCAAACTATTCGGCAACACGTTCCTAATATTGTGAGTTTTCATTAATCTAAATTAAATAGCGGGTCCAAAACCGGCCATAATAAAAACAGAGGTACCGGTTAAATTAATAGCGCCTTTCGGAAAAGACCCCTGTTAATAATCTGTCACTAACAGTCCTATGCTAGTTTATACTCTTTAAATTCAAAAAATTTCTTTTTAAAAAAAACATTTTAGAAAGTTCTGGTACTTGATTCAAGTGAGGAGGAAGTACATGTTCTAATGCAATCATTACAAAATATCAAAGTCTTGGTTCTTCCATTTAAACTTTTGAGTGAGGATAATCAGCGTGCGGAGAATGTTGAATTTTACCCTCGAGAATTTCTTATGCGTTTGACTGCTTTGGATTTAGGAGAGGTTACTGTTGAGGTCTGGACTTTATTATTTTTGAAATTTTGAAGTCATTTTTGGGCAAAAGTGTATGCCCTTTTTGACGGACTGTAAAATAGAAAAGCTGGGTATTGTGACTTATAGGGGTTTTTGTTGGCTGTACCGATTTCGATAAATGAGGTGTCGTTCGAAAGAGAGCTCACCGGGCTGAGTCAGTCGCGCGGGGGAAAAATTCGAAAAAGTCGGGGATCGAGTTACTGACCTCTGAAGTTAGAAAAAGAGAAGAGAGGAGTAAGCTCATTTTTGGGGTGAAAAATTCGAAAATGTAATTGCCTAGATAAGGGGGGTTTGAAATCTGTTGGATTCCTGTCTCGAGGGATTTTCAAACTTTTATTTTTTTAGTTTGGAACTCTCCGATTTAATCAATTACCAAACTTGGAATATTTGGCCCTTCAGTTAGATACGGCCTTAAATTCTAAAAATTTATTCATTCAAATCGTTGGGTTGCCTTATCTGCGTTCATTGACTTTTAAAATAATTGAAAATGCTTCCTGTGATTCTATACAATGGAAAGAGGACAGACAATTATATGATTCTTTGATGTCTATGGCACAAAAAGGAATTATTGAAGTGAGTAATTTGGTGGTATTTGTTATTTTATTTTTGGGTTTTTGGGATCTGTTGCTTTTGGGATCTTTTGGGTTTTTTGGGACTTGTGGAATCTAAATTTTTAAGAAAATTTTTTTAGTATTTGCACGTCTCTTGGCCGTTAAATACTTCTCTTGTTGTGGAATTTGTTAAGAATTGTTCGGTATGTTTTTAGTTGGACTTTTCTAATTTTATATTTAACTCTGGGATTGTGGCTACAATTTTTTGAAATAATTTTCGAATCACTTTTTGACATGTATCAATTCTTTAATTTTATCCCTTAATTTTTAAGAAATTACGTGCACTTTTCTTTGGAATTCGAAACATGAAAAGTCGTGACTCGGAAGAAGAATTTGAGTGGAAAAGTTTCATTAAATCTCTTGATCAATTGAAAAAAGGATTATTACCAAAAGAAGATTTTCAAAAAATAAAAATGTTCAGCAATGTTTTTGGTGAATGGGGCGACCGCAAATATTCTCTTAAATTGGTTCCAGTTAAACATCCGTGGATTGAATGTCTTGATAATCCTACACCTTCACATGTATTGGGAGAAGTTTGTCTGAAGGAATTGGGAGAAAATGTTGATGTGACAACTGAGTCAGTTTTCTCTCTTTAATTATTACTTTAAAAACTTTTTTGGGGTATCTGAAACTGTTTTATAAAATAGGGGGATATTGTGAATACTAGTCCATTAGCTCTTCTGGTATTTAACCCTCAAAGGAAAAAGGGTTTCAGACATTTCTGATTTTTTTAAATTTCAGATTATTCAAATTCCCGCCAAGAGTGCAGGTACCTAAGAAGATTATTGAGGATTAGAAAATATAGAATATATAGATATTATGTAGGTATTAGATAATTAAATATAAATTGTGTCCGGTAGTTTTGTCATAGTTAATATATGTGTGTATAAATTAAGCTTAAAAATTGTTTTTTTAATGTTTTTTGATGGTTTAAAACCTTTAATTTTCTAATGAGAATTTTGTTTGTAAGAGGACTTTAGACTAGATTCTATATCTTAGAGAATTTCTCTTTAAAAAATTTATGTAGTTTCTAAAAATTTTTTATTTTCAGTTATGTTCTCCTCAAAAAAAGTAAACTTTTTTGTATTTCAGTCATAAATTATTTAAATGAACGATTTAGTAAATCAATTTAAAAGTGCTGCATTAGCTGTTGGTCAATATTTAACTCCAGACCAACTTGGTCTTGGGCAAAAGCTAGTGATTCTAATGGGTATTTGGTATATTTTCGAAAATTATTTAAAAATTATTTTGAGGACTTGTGCTTATTTACCTGTTGACAAACGATTTTTAATTACCAAACAAGTGCCTTGTCATCAAAGATGTGCTCAAATTATGGGTTATGATGAGTCTAAAGGAAAGGTTTTGACTATAATTTATAAAAATTTTTTAGTATAATTTTTTGATTTTTCAACTAATTTTTATCATTTTTCTCCTCTTTTTTAATTTCTTCTTCATTCCTCAATAAAAGAGGTTCTTTATTTATTATCTTCTTTTCTGATGTCCCTCCTCCTCCTCCTTTTTTCCAACAATTATTAAAATTTTCATCACTTTCAAATACTGAACTTGAGGCTGAAGAATGAGGGCGACTTGAAGGGTGTTGTTGTTTTACTTGAAAGAAAAAATTTTTTAATTTGAAAATTACCCCCCCCCCCTCCCCCCTCTTTTTTTCTTTGCCCCCCCCCCTCCCACATTTAAATCCTAGTTACGAGCCCTACTTTTAGGACATGAGCCCCATGAACTTTTATGCTTCCCAAAAATAGTATAAGCGCTCCTTCAATAATATCTGCCCAAAAACTAGCCCAAACGTGTTTATGTAACTGGTAGGGAGACATATCGGGCAGATACGGAAATATAGAAAATGCGGTGACAAAATCCAGATCCCCAAAATTGAATTCGAAAGCGTCGAATTTTGGCCCGAGCAAGACTTGGACGGCTCGCTTTTATAAAAATGAAAAAAATTTTCGAAGGATACGGGGAACGAGGAGCTACCCAATTCAATAAATGACTCGAAAAATGAGGCCCTTATTTGAAAACCCCAACCCAAATTATTATTTTTCCTTCCTCATATGCGTTCCATCATTATATATTGACGTGACGCCTAGAATTTTTTTGGGAAACATAAACACGCTCATGGGACCCAAATCCTAAAAAAGAGCCCAAAATTTTAAAAATTAACCATCATCATCAAAACAATTATCATCAGTCATTGTAGCTGCATTTTGTTGTTGTTGATTAGTTGTTTGAATTAAAGTTTCGAGCGAATCGGGTGTTGCTAGCTAAATAAAAAAAAAATATTTTTTCGGTCCTAGAGAAGTTCCCCCCCCCCCCTCTTCACTTATTTTTTTAAATTTATTTTGTTGACCTGGAACAGATTCCTAACTAAATTTTTAGCCAAGGTAACAAGACAGCAGACCTCCCTCCTCCCCCCCCTAAAGACAGGCAAAAGAGTGGACAGCAGAATTCAAGTTCTTCTTGGTTTAGTGGATAAGAGCACTGATTACAAAAATTTCCCCTTTTCAACTTGGGTCAAAAATTCGAATCTTTTTATGATCAAATTTAATATATATATAACTAAAAATCACAAAGTACCGGGTTCATATTATTTAAAAAATTTAAAAAAATTTTCTGACCCCCCCCCCTCAAAAAAATTTTCTGACCCCCCCCCCCTCTCAAAAAAATTTTCTGACCCCCCCCCCCCCCCCCTCTCAAAAAAATTTTCTGCCCCCCCCCCCTCAAAAAAATTTTCTGACCCCCACCCCCTCTCAAAAAAATTTTCTGCCCCCCCCTCAAAAAAATTTTCTGACCCCCACCCCCTCTCAAAAAAATTTTCTGCCCCCCCCCCCCTCAAAAAAATTTTCTGACCCCCACCCCCTCTCAAAAAAATTTTCTGCCCCCCCCCCCTCAAAAAAATTTTCTGACCCCCACCCCCTCTCAAAAAAATTTTCTGCCCCCCCCCCTCTCAAAAAAATTTTCTGCCCCCCCCCCCCTCAAAAAAATTTCTGACCCCCCCCCTCTCTCTCCTTCTTTCTTTATACCTTAATATCCACAGAATGTCCATTAACAATTTGTTCTAACCCAAAAGCTAAACAACGATCAACTGCTGATTGAGTTTCAAATGAAAGAAAACCATAACCACGAGGAAAGGCTACCTTTAAAATTTCAAAAATTTTCAAAAAATTCCAAAATGTTCAAAATTTTTTAAAAAACCATTTCTAATTGTTCAACAGGTCCAAACTGTTCAAAATGTGCTCTCATTGTATCAAGAGTATGCCATTCCCAATTTAATCCAGAAAGTTGAAGACGGCAATTTGGGGCTAGTTCGAGGGACTTGAAAAAAAATTTTTGAGAAATTTTTTAAAAGTTTCAAAATGTCAAAATTCTCAGAATATTTTCACTTTAAAGTAGGGTAGCACCCCGTCTCCGAAAGCACGACGAATTTTTAGGCAAAAACCCGACACTCCTGCCATCGAAGGCTCGGGATGCTACACCCTACTTTGAAAAATTGGCTCTTGTCCAGACCACAACCTTTACGCGTCCAAAAATAAAAAGTTTACGCGTCCAAACAATGCCGATAAGTACACGGTTATTGAATTTAGTAGCGTAAAATCTATGGGATTGGAAAGCTCAATTCACCCAAAGCTACACACCATAGATCCCATCGATATAATTCCCAATTCCCGAATATCGGGAATTTTCGACGTTTTTTGGGTCAAGAATTCCTATTCCCGAAATCGAGAAATTCATTTTTTGTCGGTGCGATCACTGAACACACAAGGGATGGCCGGGTACGCCAAATATTTTCGGCCAAATACCCGATCCGAAAAATTTTCAAACCCTGGCCCTATTTTTCCTCTCCCACCCCGTGTACACTTGCACGATGCAGGACCTTGGATTCTAACACGCAGAATCGGGTATATCACTATAGATTGGACGCATAAATTTTTTATTGGACATGTAATCTGAACAAAGGCCCAAGAGTAGGGTTGGGGGCCCGATTCGGTCTGGGTCGAAAGATCGAGTCGGGCATTGAATTCTGGTCCGAAAAAGACTCGGACAGGCCCGATCAAAATAAGGCCCGAAAAAATGACTCGAACGTCGGCTCAACTCGAAAACCCAACAAAGAGCCCAAGAGTCCCCCAAAAATTAAATATTTATACCAAAAATTCTGGAAGCGCCTCAGTTTTTACAATTGGATTCATCTTTTCTCTTTAATAAAAAAAATGTTAAAATATTTTCAAAAAATTCAAAAAAAAACTTTGGAACAGCTCTTTTTGCATCTACATTCTTTCCATTAATTCTGTGGGGAAGTGCTGCTATACAAGCATCTGCCTATAAAAATAAAAAAAATTTTTTTAGGTAAAATTGGGGGAGAGGGGGGGGGTCGTGGGTTCGAACCCGCGTAGGGAAATTAATATTTTTTTCAACATATAAAAAATTTTTTCTCGAGGATCTGAGTGAATTTTAAAGTGTTTTTTTCGGTCATCTTGCGAGAAATTTTAGAATAATAATAAATTTCAGTTGGGTTTAAAAGCGCGTAAGGGTTGTGTCAGTTTAACCAACTTCTTCGGTTAATCGGAACGAAAAACAAGGAAATCTTTGGATTTTCATGGAACCAACAATTCTACATGAGCGATACTGAAAAAACCTCGAAACGGAAAACCCCGATTGAGTTATTCAGAACCTGAAAAAAAATGAAATTTCCCCACGCGGATTCGAACCCACGACCCCCTTCCCCTTATGTTTACATTTTATTTTTATAAAAATCCAAAAAGGGGAAAGGAGTAAGGAGCGCTCGTACTACAAAACGCTGAAATACCCCCCCCCCCCTCTCCCCCATCCCAAAAATGCTAAAAATGTCGAAAATACCAAAAATATATATTATTTGGAAGGTTCTTAACAATCTCAAAACATTTTTTGGTACTTCACATGTCTTTTGGGAATGTTTGGTATTTTTTCGTTTGGTATTACAACATCAATCTGTTTTTTCCTTCACCTATCTCAATGAAGAAAAATTCTTCCCCCCTTTTTGGATTTTTATAAAATAAGAAATTCACACTCAATTTATTCCCCTACACTATTCCCAATTTTAAAATGGAATCCACCTCCTTCCCCAAAAATAAAAAAATTTTTATTTTTTGTCAGTGAAGAAAAAAATTTTTTTTAGTCCGCAAAAAATTTGCGGACAAATTTTTTTTGGATTTTTATAAAACCACTCCCCCCTCCCCAAAATTCAAAAAAAAATTTTTCAAAAAACCATTTCCGCAGTTGTATACGTAACAAATCCAAATCCTCTAGAACTTCGAGTTGTTGGATCTCGAATAACTATACAATCGACAACTTGTCCCCATTGAGAATAATATTGTTTTAAAGTGTTGTCATCTATTTGGCCTAGTCCTCCAATGAATAATTTCTGAAAATTAAAATTATTTTGAATTTAAGTTAGGCTAGAAGGATAGAGGAGAGGAAAAACGCCTTCCGTATATAACAAGGGGTGTGTGCCGAAATAAATTTTAAAAAGCTTGTTGCCCAAGTTGTTGCCCATGGATAAGCAACAACTTTTATCATTAGCCCACTCACCTCCCCCTACTCTTCCCCATCCATCTCGCTACTCCTCCTTTCCCGAAGATTTTGTAGATACGACTAGGGTTCTGTTGGCGATAAGTAACAACTTTTAATAAGTAACAAGTTTTTGCCTGTAGCGACTCAACTGCACGTGAACTTATTTGAGTAATGGTTGTGGCGGTGGTGGATTGTGAGAATTCTCTCCTCCATATAAGCCACCGCTACAGGCAAAAATTAACCGGTCGCCAAACATAGATCCGGTCTTTCATAGAAGAGCAGGTTCCCAAAATTTTCTTCGGATCAAGTTTCGGATCGAAAAAAATTTCTCCCCTCTTCCTAAGAAAATGGGGGGTAAGGTTTCCAAAAAACTAAAAATCTTACTACAAAAAGGAGTGCCGCCCCCCCCCCCCCCCAACGAATCCATCCCCCTACTGCCCACCCCAAAAAATTCAAAAAAAAATTCGAAAAAATATACTCGGCTGCTAAGTGGCTGCATTTGTGATCCCTGCTGTCTTTGTTGTGAAATCATTTGTTGTTGAAAATCGTTTTGTTCTTGTTGGGGAAATAGAGAAGGGAAAGAATGAGCTGAAGAAGGCCTTTGTTGTTGTTGCTGTAAATCTGGAAAATTGTTGGTATCTAGTAGTTGTTGTGGTGGTGGTGGATTGTGGGAATTTCGACGAATATCCAAACGACTGAAAAAAAGAAAAAAATTAAAAAAAAATCCGCAAAATTTGTCCGCAAAAATTGCGACGAAATATTTTGCGGACAAAAATTTTTTGCGGACAAATTTTTTGCGAAAAATCAATTACAAAATGACTTGACACAAAAAAGTCCGCAAAAAAAGAAAATCCGCAAAAAATTTGCGGACAAAAAAATTTGCGGACAATTTTTGCGGACAAAATTTTTTGCGGATTTTTAAAATTAATTTTTCGATTAAATAGATTGTTTTCACATCAATATTTCACAAGTATAAAGGTTATGAAATTTAATCGATGTGGAATATTAAAAAAATAATAAAGTGCTATAAAATGGTGAGTCATCCAAATTTAATTAAAACTTTTGAAATATAAATTTCGAAAAATAAATTTTTAAAAAGACTCTATTATTTCGACATTAAAATGGGTATTTAAGTCAAAAAAGCAATCCTGTGGGTCAGGCCAAAGAAAAAAATTTGTGGAGGGGGATTAAGTCAAAAAAGGCACTATAAGCGTTTAAAGGGGGCCGAAGCTCTCTAACCATTATGAGCAGAGTCGTGACCAGAGACCGGCACGGGACCGGATCCCGAAATATATTTTTTAATTTTCGGGATCCGGAATTTCTCGGGAATTATCCCTCAGGATCCCGTCTCAACAGCGGTTAAAAAAATCCCGACTCAGGATCTAGGAAGTTCGATTTTGCCGGTCTCTAACCGTAACCTTACTAACATTTATTTTTTACAAATATATAACGTGGGTCAATTGAAGTTAGGTGCCAAAAATAATTGGTCTTAAAAGAATGGCCCCCCTCTTAAACGGCAGTAGTGCTAGCAAAAAAAGTAAAAACTTTTTCGACTAAAACTCCTAAAATTCTCAAAACCCCCCTCCCTTGTCCCCCCTCAAGAGCACCCTTTTCATGGCCACGGGTCTGCCGAATTTTAAATTTCCAAAAATCAAAATCTGACATTCGATTGTCGATTTATGACAGGAAAATGTCAAAAAAAAACAAAGTCAGTGTCCCCAATGAACCGAAATTTGTCAAGCCTGAATGGGATAAAATGCCATCTAGCCTAGATTTTTTAAACTACGGCACTCCAATGTCAAAATTAACCCAGAAAATTGCCGAAAAAATAGGTGGGTAAAAGACATTCAATTGTCGTTTTATGACCAAAAAATGTCAAAAAGTGGCCATAATCGACTGAAAAAATGTCAATAAAGAATGGACGGGATAAAATGTCATCTAGCCTATATTTTTAAAAATCTAACACACCAATGCCTAAACTGACCCCGAAAATTGCCAGAAAAATAGGTGGGACCAAATGTCACCTTATTTTAAATTTTAAAAATTTAACTAAAAAACCTTTCTTGTAAATAAGGACCATAAGCAGCTGGCCCATTAACCGCTAAAGATGATGTTCTTTGTTTTGTATTAGCAATTGCATCGTTTAACCAATTTGGATTTAACATTTGTTGATTTTAAAAAATCCCTGAAAAAAATTTTTGGCAGAAAAATTATTAGAAAAATTTTTGAAAGTAAATTTGTAAAAATAACAATGAAAAAAAAATTAAAAAATAAAATTTAAGATATTTATTCAACAAAAAAAAACGAAGAAAAACGATGAGAAAATTTATACGGCAAAAAAAATTATTTTTTAAAAATCATCAGAAAATTTTTTTTCTGGAGTTTGAACAGTCTCTTAGGGGAGCAGTCCAAGGTACCGCAGAGCTATAACTTTGTCCAAAATTGTCGAATCCGGGACGCCCTGGTATGATTCGATACATCTCGACGAGCTGAATTGACCCATACCAGGGCGTCCCGGATTCAATCATTTTGAACAAAATTATAGCTCGGCGGGTACCTTGGCTTGCTCCCGAGTTTGTCGGGCTGGTACGATAAAAATGAGATCCGAAAAAATGACTCGAAAAAATGCAGCCCGACTCGAAAACCCCAACCCTAATTAAAATTATTAAGGCAAAAAATTTTTTTTGCCTTAATAAAAATCTCATAAAAATTAAAGTCTAAATATTTCCTACACAAAAAATAAAACTCTCTATATATAAATTAAAGGCTCTCTGTTCTAGTTTATGAGTCCAAATGAAAATTTACTTTTTTTCCCACCCCATCTGAAAATTTTTTTTGTAGCTTTTTGTGGAACTCCTTACAATTAGACGTCCAAAGAGGACATGGATGGCTTTCAAAAATGATCCCCTTTTGAAAAAATTTCAGGTTACTGACTTGGGGTATGGACCTCCACTGGATCCTCAAACTGAAAAATCTTTTGGTTATGGAACTGGGAGTGGACTTCCTTAGACTTTCAAAGATGACATGGAAGAGAAAGGGCATTGATTCGACTCAAAACCACTTTTATTGGACCCATAAATATTCAAGGGACTCGTAGAAGTTCTGGACCCTGTGGTGGACCTCCATGGACTTCCAAAAAGGACATGGAAGGGCATGGACATTTATTGGACTCACAAACATTTTTAGTGGACTTGTAAAAATTCAAGGGACTCATAAACCAGTCTAGAGCCAAAATAACGACACAAAAACAAAAAAATTAAATTATCAAACCTCCCCTCAAAATTTCTTTCAAATTTCACTTCTCAAGCTAATCCTCAATATTAGGCTTTTCATCAACATTTAACTTCTCCCCTCTAACATGTGCCATATAAACCTCATCCTCGTCATAATCTTCACTTTTCTCCTCCCTGTCAGTCTTTTCTTCCTCCCTTTCAGAAGTCAAAGTCGTCCGTTCAGTCATTTTTGAGGTCCGTTCTTCTTGTAATTTACCCAATTTTGAAGCCAATGAACTGCTAAATTGGTCACGATAAAGTTTGGAAAGTGAATCGAGAAGTGAATAAATTGTTTCGTAATAATTGATATGCATTTCCAACTAGGAAAAAAATTTTGAAAAAATGGGAGTTAATTTTGTGAATTTTTAAAAGCAAAAAATTTTTTTGGGTAACCCTTTGAATTCCCCCTATTTATTTTTTTAGTATGAAGCCAAAATAACAAAACAATAAAAAACCAGCCCCATAAAAGCTACCGAAATCAGTGCTGCACACAATTGAAAAAAAAATACGCAATTGTGTGCAGTCCTGACCGAAATACAAACTGAGGAAACCAGGAGACTATTCTGGCGTTTATATTCTGACTCCAACATATTTTGGCATTTTGGTATTTCCCTAATAAATTTTTGAGCCGCTCCAAAAATGCCAAAATTTAAAACCCCATATCTAGTCAATTTTGGTTCCTGGGCCAAAAAAGCTAAAATTTGGCTACAGGTTATCCACTATGCTCTATGAGCAATCCCAAAAAATACGACAGGTAGGATCCTTTTTAAGGGACAGAAACGATAAAATGTTTAAATAAAAAGGATAAAGAAAAACCTTTCGAAAATCTCCATACATACAGTCAAGTCGATCCGAACAAATTCGCCATCCTTTTTGTGTCAACTCAATGCAATAAGATTCATCTAAAAAATTTTAAAATAAGAAAAGCCTTCGAAATTCCCCAAAAAAGGATTTTTAAATTTTTCGTTAAGTGTAATAGGAAAAAAATCATCGTAAGATAAACGGCTTTAGCCCCTAGATTTTTGGGAAACCAATCGACATTTGATCATGAGTAGTACTAGGGTTTGAGAAAAGTTTGGGTTGAAAAAAAAGCCGGGTCAGGCCTTAAGCTGGGTTTTCGAAAATTCTCAGTTAGCCGGATATCGCAATGGAAATTTCAGGTTTCACGTATGAACTCTCGGATAACTCCCATGGCATCCCTGGTTACATCCCACCAACTCCTATGCCTGACAATTTTATTCAAAAATTGTTCAAGAAAGAACGATATTTTGTCCGAACGGTGCTTTGCCCCCTCCCCAACAAAATAAGCCGACATTTTCCCCCCAAAATAAAAATAAAAATTAAAAACAAAACAAACTTTCCAACGTCACCAAATTGAGAAACAACAATTCAGGAGTACGTGTCAAAATTTCCGAAACGCTAATCGATTTGACAAACGTGGCAACTTCCCCAACGGCCGCAAAAGCTTCCACTTCCAATTGGCTAAGTTGAGTACACGTTTCACAAGAAATGGAAGGTGTTGGAGATGAGGGACTGTAATAAAAAAATTTTTTTGAGATTAAAAAGGGTAATATTCCTAGCCTACTGGTCCCCAGACTAACATTTTCATCAAAAAAATTGTCCGCAAAAAATGTCCGCAAAAAGAATTGTCCGCAAGAAAATTGTCCGCAAAAAAATGTCCGCAAAATTTTTGCGGATTTTCGCTTTTTAGGGTATAAATTCAAAATTGAAACTCTAGGGGTTATTCTAATAAGAGAAAGGTCAAGGTTTATCCGAATTCGAGTTCGGGACACGAAAAGGACAAATTCTAAAAGTAATATTCGGAATTGTGTAAGCACCAGAGATTGGCCTGACTGAATCCAGCTTGGATTTTTTATGAACCCAGAGTCAAGACCAAGGCATTTTTCATTATTCCTCGGTTTTTCCTTAACCTTGAGCCTTTTTGGCCTTTTCCTCGTCTTAAGTTAAGGAATCTGGTCAAGGTCCTGGACCAAAATTAAGAATCAAAGTCAGGGTCAAGGCTTGAATCCAGATTTGGATTTTTCCTGGATACAGAATCTAGGACACTTTTCAGTGTTCCTCGATTTTTCCTTGACCTTGGGGTTTTCCTTGACCCAATGTCAAGAATCTGGTCAAGTTCCTCGACCAAAATTGAATCTAAAACAAGACCTTTTTTCTTCAGGTCTATAATAGAGATCGAGATTTTTGAAAAGCCTGGGCCTTTTCCTGGGTTACGGGTTTGATTTATTGACCTGGCCGGATCCTGGGCCTGTAGTCCAGGAAAAACCCAAGGCCCTGGAAAAACCCAGGAATGTCAAAAAATGCTTGGACTCTAGGTACAGGAAACCCAAGGCCTTGGTCCAGACCCAGGCCGATCTCTAGTCACCACACTCGATTACCCACTGGGAGATCTCAAAAAATATCGAGAGCACTCCCCCTCATTTTCTAAGGTCCAGTAACCTTAAAATTACCCAAAAAAGCGTTTAAAAACTACCCAGACATTGTAGAGATTGAAGAAGGCGGGCTTTTGTTGTCTAAATGAGGTCTATTGTTGTCGCATTTATTACCCATATCCATAAAATTAAATTTTTTTGAACAGAAAAATACCTAGCTGATAAATTGATAAAAAAGATTAAAGATTAGAAAGATAAAGGAACCCAAATTTAATCAAAAACGACCTCTCTAACCTTGGAAAAAGAGAAAAGAAAAATTTCCAAAGAAAAAAATATTCTGCCAAAACCACATTTTGCCAATAAGGGTAAAATCTACCGTTTTGTCAACAAGGCTGTGTTGTCAAAATGAGAGTTCTTAGCCTTATTGGCAAAATGTGGATTTGGCAGAATATGGAGAAAGAATTATTTTTAATAAAAATTGTTGAGCGACAATTGGCCAGAGAAAGTATTGGTCAGCTGAGTTTTTGGGCATATTTTGAGCCATAACATTTTTGATTCTTGACCGATTTTGATAAATATTATATCAATCGAAAGCTAATGATGTGAGGATTATTCTGGCCAGAAAGATTGATTTTCGTTCCTGTCTTACTTGTCGTTTGTCCAAATGTCTTATTGGCTAATTGTCGTATGTCTTAATATTGAGTCCCGCCGGTTAAGTCCCGTATTTTGGTCCATAACTTTCTTGATTCTTGACCGATTTTGATAAACTTGATATAAATCGAAAGCTCTTGATGTGCGGATTATTTTAACTAACAGGATTGATTTGACCAAATCGTCTGACAAAAAGTTGAAGCCTAACAAAGATCAAAAATCACGATTGCGCGCACTTTCCAGGCTATAACTTTTTGTAGGATGATAGGATCAAATTAATCCTGTTAGTTAAAATAATCCTCACATTCAGAGCTTTCGATTGATATAAAAATTATTTAAATCGATTAAGAATCAAAAAAGTTAAGGCCCAAAATATGGCTGTTTTTCTTAAGACTCAAATGACCTCTGTGGGATAAAATGTCATTTTTCTTTAATAAAATAAAATGTGACAATTTTTTCCTTATTTAAATCAAAACCCCTTTCTCTTTTTATATAGCCAGAGTAAAATCGATAGTCTTCGCCTTTTCATCCTTTGGCATGTCTGGCCAAAATTTATATAGTGTATATTTTTTAAGCTTTCCTTTTCTTCTATTTTTATCCTTCTGGCTCTATTTTTTGCAAAAATCAGTCAGAAAAAATTTCAAAAATATTTACAAGGGTTTAAAAATTTTTTAAAATTTATCCGTTTTATTTACAAAAATTTTAACTTGAATTTTTTTTATTTTTTTTATTTTTTTAAATTCAAAAATTTAATTATTATTGTGCTAGTCAACATTAGTTACTCTCATCTTTAAAATTTCACGATTTTTTTCTTTCCCTTTAATTTTTGTTATCATTCGAATCGGCTTGAAATTCTCTTTCAAATGACCTATAACTCGTCTGAGGCTGACAGACCTGGAGATCAGAAAAATTTTTTAATTCATGGGAGGATGGGAGACATTTTGTCCCAGAACCTCCATTTTATCCATACTTTTTAATAGACTTTTTTATTGGCAGTGATTTGGGCCCATAATAAGAAAACAGGTTGCGGACATGGTTAGTAAGAAGAAAAATATCAAAGATGATACGAAGATCCCTTTGGTTAGGAGTTAAATGACCTGATTAAATGGCCATGTTCTTATTAGAGATCGACCTGGGTCAGGACCAAGGCCTGGGGTTTCCTGTACCCAGAGTCCAGGCCCAGGCATTTTTTGACCTTCTTGGTGTTTTCCTGAGCCTGGGTTTTTCCTGGACTACAGACCCAGGATTCGGCCAAAGTCGATAAATCAAACCCAGGAACAAGCCCAGGCTTTACAAAAATACCGCTCTCTAGTTCTTACGGTATGATTTTTACAACTTCCTCTTATGTTACGGGCCCTGCCGGTCATCTTTCTAAATTTAGAACTCCTCTTTTATTCCTTAAAAATATTTCCATATTTGACTTTTCTGATCTTTAATTTATTTGGTCTAGACAAAAAAACCCTTCTGCTTATCCCCTAAAATACCACATTTCCTCTTCTTCCTTTCCCTTTATAAAACCAAAAATAAAACCAAAAATTAGAAAAAAAATATTATAATATTATTGACAAATGGCTGGCACAAAAATAACCAAAAAAAGCCATTTAAGCCTTAATAATAGAGAGAAGAGACTTCCTCATTTGTCGCTACATGGCACGAGGCCTCCCTCCCTCCTTTTCCCCCTTTCAACTAGTTTTTGTGGGGAGTTGTCCGTTTTGGCGCAGGGCGGTTTCGGCGCGGGGGCTTATAAAACAGTGAATTGCTTATCTAGAAGGATAAAATTTTGCAATAATCACTCTCGTAAGGTTATCTAGGTTCTCCAAAAATTTCAGAATTTTTGGGCCAGAATTTTAGAAATTATGGACACGCCTAAGTAGGCGCGGCCAAGTAGGCGCGCGGCCATAACGGCGCAAAGCCATAACTAGGTTGAAAATTTCTGGACCTTAACAATTTTGGTACCAATCTCTTTAGCTCGATGAGAGGAATCGTTTAATACCAAATTTGGAAAGATTCGGAAATGTTGAAGCAAGTTATGGCCTTGCGCCTACTTGGCCGTTAGCGCTGTACCCCAGAAATCATGTCCAAAATTTTTCGAGGCTATAACTTTAGAAATATTTGATGAAAAATTCTGAAATTTCTTGAGGAGGTAGTCAAGGATGTTAACTAAATTTGAGAAAATTTTCACGAATTTTGGGTTTGTCTAAGTGCCAATTTTGAGTCTCGCGCCAAAACGGCACGGCGCCAAAACGACTCAACCCGTTTTTCTGCGGTTTTCTCTTTTTCTTCTCTCTATTATTTTTTGCCATTTCCGAGTCTTTTTTACCCTCCATTTTATTTTTATATTATTCATTTTCATTTATTTCATTACCACTTTTTGCAGAGAATGGCATTAATGTGGGGGTATTAAAAGAAAAATAAACTAATTTGTTAGTCTGACTGCCCAAATATTTTTTTGTTTATTTAAAAAATATTTTCTAATAAAAATAGGGAGAATTTTTTAAAATTAAATTAATCCAATATTAATTTTGAAAAATAATTTTGAAAAAATAATTATATGCCAAAACCTACTGGCCATCTTTTCTATATAACAAATAAGCTAGTAAAAGAATTAAATAGAAGCAAACAAAACAAATTAATTTTAAAAACCAGCATTTAATAAAAACATAACCAGAATTTAATAAAAACATGACCAGAATTAAACAAAAACAACCAGAATTTAATAAAAACATAACCAGAATTTAACATAAACAACCAGAATTTAATAAAAACATAACCAGAATTTAACATAAACAACCAGAATTTAATAAAAACATAACCACAACTAAATTAAAACAAACAAAACTAGAATTTTAATCAGAATTAAATTTAAACATATCCTATTTTGAAAATTAAAATGAAACCAGAAAATCAGAATTAAATAAAAACAACCAACAGCTTTAACCTAAAACAAAAACCAGAATTTTATTTAAACATAATCAGAATTAAATAAAAACAAGCAACAAATTAAATTTAAACAAAATCAGAATTTTATCAGAATTAAATTAAAACACCAAACAACTTCAATATAAACAAAAACAGAATTTAATCTAAACATTACCAGAACTAAATTAAAACAAACATTTAAACAAAAACAGAATTTAATATAAACATTACCAGAACTAAATTAAAACACGTTTAAATAAAATCAGAATTTTAATCAGAATTAAATTTGAACAAACATTTTTACCAACCCATACCGGTCTCTTATATCCGGAATATTTTATTTATTCCGGTCATATCGTCGCTGGGATATACCGCTACTTCCGGCCACTCTTTTAGTGCTTCTAAACCTCTAGGCTTAAATTAATTATATTTTCTTTTTTTCTATTTTATCTGGAAACATTTGTGTTGGCTGGTACTAGGACTTTATATTTTCTTTTAAATCTTTTTAATATTATAGACAAACACATCAATACTAGCAGTAATATACTAGGTAGTGTATTCTTGCAGCAAATTTGCCCTTTTCGCAATTTCCGTTTCTCTTCAGCTCTTCCCATCTTTTTTTCCTTCTGCCACCCACACTCTTGCTTTTTATTAACTAAATTTATAAAAACATAGCCAGAATTTAATATAAACATAACCAGAATTAAATAAAAACATGACCAGAATTAGATTAAAACGACCAGAATTTAACATAAACATAACCAGAATTTAATCTAAACATGACCAGAATTTAATCTAAACTTAACCAGAATTAAATTAAAACATGACCAGAATTAAATAAAAACATAACCAGAATTTAATAAAAACATAACCAGAATTTAATAAAAACATAACCAGAATTTAATAAAAACATAACCAGAATTTAATAAAAACATGATCAGAATTT